TAAATAATCTTTTAATTTTATCCTTTTTTTATAATTTAACAAAAAAAAAAAAAAAGCCATTATTCCCCAGTTTAGCTAAGCAATGAATCCTCCTGTTTAGAACAATGGTAATTTTACCAAGAACCTATTACTCCAACTCTAAATAAAATAAATTCATTCTTCTTAAATAAAGTTTTGAATTTGAGTTTTATAAATAAAAAAACAAACATTGAGAAAACTTTTACCTTATGAAGTTTAAATCAACTTAACTTTCAATTAATCAAAATCTAACGTGACTTTCAAATATCAGAAGTTAATACAAAGAAAACAAAAAAATGAAAAAGGAAGAAGAAGAAGAGAATGGCGATTTTGCCTGAAACCATCAACCTCTAGCCAAGCAAGCAAGGAAATTAACTTTCTTTTAGGGCACTTGACAAGTAAAATTAACCAATTTCAACAACAACCAAAAGCTCAGAAGGAATTAAATTGAGACCACGCATGGCTATTCAGAGAGTGTTAATTTCAAGGTTGGTACACAGTACACTGTCGAAATTCGATATGGTATGTAGTTGCTGAATACATTAAGTGAATGCAAACACAAAAATGAGCAGTAGTGTCCAATTCCCTAGCAGGAGGGGCTTCACCTTCATTTACACGTGCATCACAAATGTGTGGCTGTAGAACAAGAGATTCCATTAAAAATGAGGTTGTAATAATTGATGTTTCCTACCAACTTAAAAGCAAAAGATGGACAAAGGTCCTTTGATGGCTGCATAAAGGACACAGTTAATGCTGCCACTCAGTCCCACTACAGATTGCGCTCCAACTAAAGCAAAGATGCACTCATCATACACATCATTGGGGGCGAAAAAAGAACACCCCCCCCCAGACAACAATAATAACCCTCAGTAGTTAGTACCTTCTTGCTTTATTTAGAGGAAGGCTTCAAGTACAATGCTCATTAGGAGATTTTATATCAATGAATCCATAAGATGATCAATCAACCAGCACCAGTTAGTGATTTCAAAAGAATATGAGATTGCAGTGATGGTTTATGCACGTGAGGATGAAGATAAATATGATGGGAATTATAGATGTATTAGATCTGGGCTAACTGGAATTTCTAGAATCTACAAGTCAGCTGGTGAACAAAGAAACAAATGTAGCCAATAACCTAAGTGGCCAGAGTATGGTAATACACTAGATCATCAATTCCAAAAGCAGCTTTGCACAACCACAGGGAAGAACGAAGAACATCTAGTATGTATAAGCTTCCCAAAAGCTGTACGAATAGTGGTCATCTTGCTGGTTTAACAATTCATAATAAAGGCAGATTCAGCATTTTTTCACAGCTACTATGTATTCTGCTTGTAGTTTCTTTAAATAGTCTATCGTTCATTATATTCAGAATTACTTTAGCAATTTATGTTTTCTTGTGATCGTGTGATGCAATCACGCTTGGTATCATTCCTAGGATTCTCTATCCTCTTTAGATGTGATTCCTAAAGGAACCTAGGTGTGATTTCTAAGGTTTTATTTCTCACCTTTTCTCTTTTTCCTAGCTTTTTCACCACTAAATCGACCCAATTTATCCCTCCAAAACCCTAAAACCACCATACCCTCCTAACCAGTCCTGTGTCAACCTTGTATTGCTGACCTTATGACAAGACCAATACACATTCCTTTTGCTTTCTTCTATAAATAATCTTAATTAAACTGAATAATATGCTATAAATAACTGAAAAATTATTTCAAATATAAATAGGATTTCTATCTCTCCATGTCCTTTATACCAAAATGTATTTGTAATTTACCAAAATGTATTTATGCCTTATCCTCATCAAATAAAAGATAAATCCACTCTCACAGTATTACTGTCTTTGTCCCATGAAAAAGGATATGCAAGGACAGGATTCCTCAAATTAATCCCCTCAACCCTCTTTCCTTTCCCTTAGGTAGGAAGATCAGATGCTCAATCTAAATTCTAAACTTTGTTCACAGCAAATGAAATTGATGTGTAAATATCAGACTGCCAACTTACCATACATTTGGGAAGCCATAAAGGATGAAAACTGAAAAAAGGTGAAAAAGCAGAACACTAAAAATAATACAATATCCATTCATATTTGTTTGAAATGCAAAAGAAATAATTAATTAGATCATAATAAGCGTCTGTCACAAGGGTTGGTGCTCACAGGAAGAAAAAGAAGAAAAAAAACATGTGTTCTGACTTACTAGAAAATTGGAGGAAACAGAAGGACAAAACTGAGGGTCTCAATCACTTCCAGTAGCCATCAAGAATTCACCCTCACAAACCACATCACCTCCAACATATGCCTTCCCTTCCATCTTTGCTATTCCAAACCGCTTTTGTAGTTTAACAAGTGTCATTCTCATAACCAAAGTATCTCCTGCAATGACTGGTTTTCGAAACCTCACTTTATCAATTCCTGCAAAGAAGAAATTATCCCGAGAGCCGCCCACTTCAGGTTGCAACATAACCAATCCTCCAACCTGGGCCATTGCCTGGACCAAGCAATTATTTCATCAATACAATTGTAACAGGTACATTAAAAAAAAAAAAAAAAAAAGGGGGACCAAGGCCTTAGCTATATTTTCACTAGTACTGAATGAGATGGCACTGTAATTATACAACAGTTTTCCAATCACTTCAGCTTTTTCTATTTTCGTTTTATTATTGACTTTATAATTCTATTGCTAGACATGCTTTTGATGCCATACTTACACAATGTTGATTACTTCAACTTGTGTCTTGAGTGCTCTCATGAAAAAAGTTTACCCAAAGAAACATGATAAATAAAGAAAAATATTGAACGCATGGATGAAAGAAGTTATTAGGCAAAATTAGCTAAACTAGCTGTGATGTTAACCGGAAAAATACTAGTCCTTACAATTTCTTCAAGTCAATTTTCTTGTTTATTGACAATTGAGAAGAAGTTTTTTTCTAAGATATCTAGTGCTCTAATGTATAAAATTACAAATCGTTCCCAGGGATATGTCTATGGTTCGAATCTTTTATTACATTCTCCCCTTAGTGGACAGCACAACAGTTTGAGTATGAGATTCCAAGTTCGTCCAAACTTAGATGGTAATCGAGTTGAGCTGAGTACTGGCCTTACTGGGGTATTCAAGCAAGAGTTCAACTCATACTTATCAAGATTGCATCAAGTTCAAGCTTTACAGAGCTTGGAAGAGTCAAGCTCAAGATTAAGCACAATCAGTTAACAAGCTCAAGTAGCTCCCAAGCCCTCCCTATACATAAAAACATCAATATAATTTATTCACTTTTTAAGATTAAAGGGCTCCTCACAAGCTTTTATTGAGCTTGAGCTGAATAAATTTAAATGAGTTTCAAAATCAAGCTCAACTCACTCAGCTCACTAACAATCCTTTAATCAAATCCACCAAATAAACCTTCTTATGACACATTTCTCATCAAATTGTCCTTCCAAAAAGCCTTGAAGTTTAGCAAACTAATATATCAGTCTACACTAGGAAACAAATACACCACCAAAACTATGTTGCAAATCCACCATTGAAGTTATGTTCTTACCAGTAGAGTATAATTAATGGTTGAGCATAGTTTGTATTAGAGTTCACATCACAGGTTGACAACCAGGGGAAAGCCAAACATGCAGGAATAGGAATATTGTATTGAGAGGTGAAGGTCTATAATCAAGGACCTTTCTAAATGGCGGAAACACTCAGATGAATTATAACTCTTTTAACATGGTGAATGGCAGACCTTAAAAACACACTCCTTTCAAGTGTTTTGCTTTAATATTTTCTACACTGTGATTAATCAATTAAGTTGCAGATACAAATAAGTCAATGCCTAATCCCTCACAAACCTGACTACCTATGTTAATGATAAAGGATATAAGCTGTCACTTGTCAATCAATGATATGAGAAAATCCAAAACAAAGGAGCAGAAATGGTTTTTTTTTTTTCCCACTAAAGAATAAGAAGAAGAAAAATCATATATCAGGAAAGCGGGGAGAACAGTCTGAAATTCCTAATCATAACTCAAAATATCCAGCAGCTTTTGTCACCATTTAACAAGTCAAGTATTTTCCCTTTAAAAATTAAGTATAGATAAAGGAACTCCAGTCATACAATTTAGAAAAATTTAATCCTGCATTCCTTTTCAATTGAAGATTTATGGCCCAAGAACTCTAACACAACTATTAATCTACAGAGATTAATCTACAGCAGCACAAGCCTGGTTCACCATGCTTAAGTCCTCATTGCACAACACAACTATTAATCTACATTCTGCACAAACAAACCACATACAAGACCACTTGTTGCAAATAAGTTCTACCTAGCTTAATCCAACAACACTCATTTCTTATACCATTTTCCTTTTCTTTTTGGAAAAACATCTCATTTTCCTCTTGCACAACCAGTCACTAACAAATACATTCTGCCTCACCATCTAGATAAAGAGTAACAAGCGGCCGCAACCTGACACAGTTACACACCTATCGAAATTTGTCATTTAGACAATTTCTCAACAAGGTTCCAAGACAAGATAACACCATTTCACCTACAGGAACATGACTCTACACAGGGGATCCTCAATCAAGAAACATGCATGAAAACACAAACCCACAACAAAACAAGAATTTCAATGTAAATCCCAACTTGGTAACCAAGAAAGAATTTTCAATCATTTCAAATACTTCTCATTTTCAAACATTATGTGAAAGATGGAAAGGAGAATGTAGATCATTACCTCAATCATGAGAACACCAGGCATTATAGGCCTCTCAGGGAAGTGCCCAGGGAAGAAATTGTCATTAATAGTCACATTCTTTATAGCAACAGCTGACACCCCAGGATTATACTCTACCACTCTATCCACTAACAGAAAGGGAAACCTATTTCATTTAACACAACCGAGCAACAAAGATCACTTCACTACAATAAGTTCACAAGCCATGAAAAAAAGTGCAAAGAAAGCTTGAAAAAAAAACGATATCGCGATTCACCTGTGAGGCAATATGTCTCTGATTTGATTAATATCCATCACAGTCGGAAATGCCGGATATCCTGTAGGAGAAAACCGAAAATCTTTTAGAATGCTATCATTTGCAGCGGCCAAGTAGAAACCGAATCAAGCTAGAGGAAGAAAACGCACTCAATTCAATCGGGGTGTCTTTTTCGGTGCTGTTGTGTTCACCTGCAGAACTGCATGTGACTTTGTTGGATCGACGACTGAATTTAAGGGCAAGAGGACGAGATCTAGATAGAGGGAGGGAGATTGGAGAAAGAGATTGCGAGAGTCTTCTGGGTTGACTCACGGAGTTATGGGTAAAAGAAACGAAGAAACTGGAAGCGACCGCCATTGCCAGAGAAGGTGAGATGGGGAGCGGAGAGTTCGAAGCGGGAGCTAGCTGAAAGTCAGTGAACAGAGCAAGGTCCTTTGTATATTCTAAATGGCCAACCTAAACGGATAACGACAAAAAACCGGCCTTTTTCGTCAGGAAGAAAGATTGAGGGTAAACAAAACCCACCTAAAATTCACCTAAAATTTCAAAACTTGAGCAACCCCAAAATCAAATCTTCATTGAATGTATCTCTGCCTTGGAGAATCAGGAACTGAAACAAACAAAAATGGGAGGACTAGGAGCTTCATGGGAAATGCCAAAGCTGGCTACTTTTTCCCCTTTTTGTTACTATTCTTTTCATTTATTTTAATAGAAAAAGCACTTTGATATGCTCGTACATTTAGCAGGACTTGAACTCCTAAGTACGGTGGACATAATGCAACTTTCTAGAAAATTACTTAATACAATTTCAGTTTCTAGAGCTTTATGTAATTGTTCTCAATCATCCATCTGAGGCTCCAGTGCTCAGATGCACATTTATAAGCCCAATATCCCCACCCAAATGTGGCTTTCCCATAAACATGCAATTGAGCTTCAGCAAACTTCTGGTAATCTTCCATTGATGCCCCATTTACATACCATTCTGCAGTCCATTCCCCTGCAAAATTGTCGGAGTACACAAATTATTTTACAAAAAAGCTTGGATAAGTTGAAGTGATACTTGCAAATATGAACACTTCTAGTTCTAGCCTCACCGACAAAACTGAGAGGGCCATTGGTAGTGGTCA